CGTGGGCAATGCATTTGACGTGCATCTTAACCCTAGTATGTGTGTTGTTTTATATATATAATATATTATTATTTATATATATATATATATATATATATATATATATTATATATTATATATATTATAGTTATATATATATATAATATAATAATATATTATAAACACCACACATTTATAGTGTTAAGGATCGCACCCGTGCAAATTGCATGTGGTTGAATATCATAATTATTTAAATTGATAAAAGTTGAATAAAAATAAAAAAGAAAATAAAGTTTTTTGTGGGATTGATAGAAGTAAAACTTTAATAAACTTTTACCAAATTAAAGTAAAACTGTAAATTACAAACACCTTAAAAATATTACAAAGAAGCAGTTGAGGAGCAACACTTGTACTTGAAGAATTGATTAACTTTTATTCTTTGAAAAATATTACAAAAAATAATATCATTAAGGTATGGTTTAGCATTCTCTGCACCATAGAAATAAAATTAAAAGTATAAATAATTATTTTTTTATGAAATTAGAACAGAGAGATTATGATATATTTCCCTATGTGCTCTAAATATAAAAATTTCTTTTTTCTTTGATGCAAGGTCCCTATCATATCTCGCTCTAAATGATGTGATTAAAAAATGCTATTATAACTTACTTACCTAGGGCAATTGTATTGTATATAGGACATATAACTTATCTGGATTATCCACATCTGCTAAGTGGATTTTGCTGTTGCAAGAGAAAAATGTTAGAGGCTTGTATTCAAACTTTTTGGCTCTATGAAACACACAAGAATTTAGAGTGCATAGCTTATATATTGTAAAGAACATATTGGCCCATGAAGAATTTTCCCTAATAACAATATTATTACAACAATACTACTATTTAGTATTAAATTAGTTTTATTATATAAAATTATATGACCCTTTTTAATAAATTATATATATATATATATATATGTGTGTGTGTGTGTGTGTGTGTGTCTGTACGCGCGTGCGCGCGCGTGTGTGTGGAAACCTCAATGCTTGTAGCTTTTACTTGGGTTCCACAAAATTGATTAACTTTATGTTGTAGTTACTAATTTGATACACGTAACTATAGAATAAATCTCAAGCAAAAAATAAGAATTAAGATTGTATAATCCTGTAGGCAAATAAATAAATGTTATTAGAGCTTCTCTTTATATTAAATTTAAAAGTAATAATTTAAATTATTAAGAGCCAAATATTAGTTCATGTGAGAAAGTAAAGTAATCTATGGTCTACATACCTATTTTGTCAATTAATCAAAAGTATTAAAATTATGATGATCACAGTCAATATTATATGGTGAGTTCACATTAAATATAATTTATAAAAACAGTACATTAAAGTCAAAATTCTTTTAACCACTATATAGATTGTCTGAAAATATTTATATATATAAACTATATTGCTTAGGAAGAGTGATGTGCACTTAACTATGGCCTAATATGTCTTAAGAACGACTTACTCTTCATTATCATTATTAATTGATGAATCTACATTACACTGAAAATATAATAAATATTTAGAAAACTACAAAAGAAACACCCTCAAAGATTTAAAATTTATAAAAAAACACCCTAAAATTTATAATTTACAAATATACAAAACTATTAAACATTACATTAAAATTAATGAATTACAAAAAAACATTAAAATTTTTTAAACTTTGGAGGGGTAATTTGCAATGTACTAAACTTTAAGGGTGTTTTTTTATAAATTTTAAATTTAATAGATTTTTAATTAGTTATGTTATTTTTAAAAAAGTTATGGCTAATATTGACCATGAAAAGTATTTTCTAAACCTATACTTTTAAAGGGAGTATGATATCTTTTGTAAATTTTTAATTTTTTAGGGGTTGTTAGTAAGTTTGTATATTTATTTTAGTGTCTATAGGTTAGAAATTCTCATGGTGTTTTTTTTGAAAATTATGAATTTTAGGGGGTTTTATAAATTTTTAAACTTATAGGTCATTTCTACATATTGTAAATTATTTATAAACTATTTATAATTCCTTTGTTTTTAATTTACTAATGAGTTTGTAATTCTCAGGGTGTTTTTTGTAAAATTTAAATTTTGAGTATTTGTTTGTAATTTTTGAAACTTTAGTATTTTCTATAAATTATAAATTATGCAAGGGATATTTACAATTCCTATATTTTCAATGTACTATTAGGTTGGAAATTATCCGTATTTTTATAATTTTTATAATTTTTAGTGTTTTACTTTGTAATTTGTAAAAAGTTTAGAGTATTTATTGTAAATTCTAAATTTTTTTGGGGTTTGTTTGTGTTATTTGTAGGTTTCTAGCGTGTTTATAGGTTTAAAATTTTCAAGGTGTTTTTTAAAAAATTTAAAATTTTTAGTGGTGTTTTTGTAATTTTCAAAACTTACAAGATATTTTCTTCAAAGTTAAAAAACTTTTAGTTTCTAGCTAGGATCTGTTTTTCAGATTTCTCACTAAATTAAAATAAGTAAAATTTATAATTTTCAATATGTTTTAATAAAATTTTGAATTTGTAGGGGTATTTCTGTAATTTAAAAAACTTGGAAGATATTTTTTACGAAGTCCAAAAAATTTTAAGTGCTAGCTAGCACATGTTTTTTTTTAATTTCTCTGCAAACTAAAATAAGTAAATGGTTTAAATTATATCAAATGTATCTTCTTTATCTAATAGCATGTTAAATATCATTATAAATGGGATAAATTATTTAATTACCAATTCAGAGAAGATGAGATAATTAAAATAGACTAGGATAATAATATAATACTTAAAAAAATTAAAGATAACATCGACTATGAAAAGATTTTTCCGAACTTAGTGCTGTTAAATGGAGTGTGATATACCCTCCATAATTAGTTGCGGCTCTAAACATATAATTATTTATGAGGTTGAAATCATGGTTCATGAACTTCCCACTTTCTAGTCACACAACGCCGTTAATCAACCAAAGCAATGAAGGCAAAATTAGGTCCCCGGGGTTTCAGATAGAGAGGTACTAGAGGCACACTCTCCACCACACTTTCAACCACACCTCCCCTCATGCTACAGTGCATCGGGGCCCACTTGAGATTTAAAATTTAAATCTTAAGCGGACCCGGTACACTGTAGCAGGAGGGGAGGTGTGGTTAAAGGTGTGGTGGAGAGTGTGCCTCTATCATTTCTCTTTCAGATAATAGCTCAACCCCTACTCTACCTTCAAGGGTAGCACCTATGTCACGAGCGTACGCACAATCAGCCACAATTAATTAAACGAATGCTTTCATTATAATATCCTTAACTTGGTAGTTTCAACCCCCGCTATAGTGGCTCGTTCTCCTCTTATTTTTCGTTAATCAATTAACTAATTAATTTGAAGCGCGGGTTTCCTCCGGAACTGGCACGTGCCGGTTAAGTGTTCACGGTGTCCAGTTCCGGAACCGGTGGATCCGCTGCCAGCCTTCCTTTCCCAACTGCCGCTGACACGTGTCAGCCTGCCAACAACCTCGTTCCGGGCGCCAAACATCCGGTCAACATTCCCACTGACCCATATCCAAGTCATCTCCACCAGTGGGCCCCGCCTCTCCTCCACGGGCACCCCCGCATGCGAATAAATAGTGTGCGCTCCGCAGAAACGCAACATGTTATGATAAGATAGAATAATGAGGTTCATAACCTGTGTGTTATGTTATGGTTATGAGATAGAAATAATGAGATTCAAGGCTTTAGATGTGTGTTAGCAAGATTAGAGTAGTCATTCGTCTATCTTTCGGTAGCTCATTAATCAAAACAAGTTCAAAGCCCAAACGTAAATGTATCATTTACACGTGGTTACGTGAAGCAAAATTATATACCTAATTATATGCAAACAATATTAATTATACTAGGAACCCAATCTCTTCCTATAGAAAACATAAAATTGAACTCCTGCTTTACAAATTGAAGTCGGAATCCTATCAGAATATAATGCATCAATCATATAGAATGTTCTGAGCCAATCATTTCACTTTGTGTGGGGGATGGGTTAGACCTTGCGTTTGCACTTAGAGCTCTACTTTCGTGTAGAGTTATGATAGAAATCTATTATGTTAGTTTTATTGATGATTTCTCTCGTTATACATGGGTCTATTTACTTAAAAATCGCTCTGAGTTACCTGATGCGTATGAAGCCTTCATTGTTATGATCTTCACTCAATGGGAAGCTCGTATTAAAGTTTTTCGATCTGACGGTGCCAAAGAGTATTTCTCCTCTATCATGCGCTCTATCATGACCTCTCATGGGACTATCTTTCAACAGTCATGTCCCTACACTCATGAGCAGAATGATGTTGTTGAACGCAAACATCGACATATTCTAGATACCGCTCGATCCATGCTCATTTCTTACTCTATACCTCATCGTTTCTGGGCTAAGGCCGTTATCATTGTTGTTCGTGTCATTAATATCACTTCATCTACCTCTCTTTCTGGTGCTACTCCTCATAGTTGTGTATATACTCATACTCCTCACTATGATCTGACTCGCGTATTTGGTTGTTGATGTTTTATTTTTCTGCCATCTCACGAACATGAGAAATTGTCTCCTAGAGCTGTTCCCTGTGTTTATTTAGGAATTAGTCTAGAACATCGAGGTTATCGTTGTTATGATCATGCATCTCGTCGGGTTCATATATCTAGACACGTTCAGTTCGAAGATGTTTCTCCATATTACTCTGGTTCTGATCATTTTAATTTTCTCCATACTACCGATCGCTCTTCACCGTCAGCTGCACCACCCACTTCCTTACCTTCGTTCTCCTTTCGAGATCTTCCTGACATCTCTTCATCTCCTTCTCCTTCTGTTGAATCTCCATCACCCGAGCCTTCTCATACACCATCTGCTCCCCTAGCTCCCTCTCCCTCGGACACGGTGCCCACTATAGAGCCTGTTGACCTCCGCGCACCTGCGCTAACATCTCCCCGTCTGAGATTCCTATTGCTCTTCGTCGAGGCAAACGACCACATGTTATGCCTAAACGGTATGCTTCAGTTACTTCCTATTCACCTATCTTTCATAATTTTTTGTTGTCATTCATACTACCGTTGAGCCAAAGTTCTTTCAAGAGGCAGTTCAATTTTCAGAGTGCCGACAGGCTATGGTTGAGGAATTTTAGGTCTTTCAGCAAACACATACATGTGATGTTGTTCCTTGTCCTCCTGACATTTCTCTAGTTGGTAGTAAATGTGTTTATAAGGTCAAGTATCGTCCTGATGGTACCATTGAATGTCGGAAGGCCCATTTAGTGGCTCGAGATTTCACTCAGCAACATGGTATTGATTATGAGGAGACTTTTACTTCTGTTGCTCAGATGTCCATCGTTCGTACTATCCTTGCAGTTGTTGATACTCATCGTTGGCTCGTATATCAGATAGATGTCAAGAATGTTTTTCTCCATGGCTCTTTATCTGAGACAGTGTATATGCAACCGCCTCCAGGGTACAATATTCCTCCAGGACATGCATGTCTCCTTCGCCGTGTTGTTTATGGTCTCAAGCAGACACCCCGCGCTTGGTTTCAGTATTTTCGTGATGTCGTGCTAAAAGCGGGCTTTATGAAAAGTCATCAAGATGCTTTTCTGTTTGTTCGCACTATATCGTGCGACATAATTTTATTAATCCTTTGTGTAGATGATATGATCATTCTAGGTGATGATGTTGTTGATATACAATACGCAAAATCTAAATTGCAATAGCAGCTCCTCATGAAGTATTTTAGGTCTCTTCGCTATTTTCTTGGTCTAGAAATCTCTCAGGGCCCGCGGGGAGTACTACTGTCTCAACAGAAGTATCTCTCAAATATTCTAGCTCGTGTTGAGCTAACTAACGATGTAACTGTCGATACTCCATTTTAACAGAATATCATACTTTGCTCTATTGATGGTGAGCCTCTATCTGATCCTACCCAATACCGACATCTTATTGGTCAGTTGGTCTATTTGTGCATCTCTCGACCAGATATCTCTCATACTGTTGACATTGTCAGTCAATTTGTTGATGCCCCACATTCTATACACTATGCTGTCTTATTGCGGATTTTTCGGTATCTCCGAGGCACTAGCAATCGCTCTCTTCTGTATCATGTTACATCCGATTTAGAGCTTCGTGCATATTTTGATGCTGATTGGGCTGGTGATCCAACTACTAGGAAGTCTACCATAAGTTATTATGTATTTCTTGGTGATTCTCTTATTTCCTGGCGGAGTAAAAAAAAAGATGTTGTTGCCCTTTTCAGCACCGAGCCAGAGTATCGTGCAATGTCAATAACAGCTAAAGAGATTATTCATCTTCGTCGTCTTCTCAGTGATTTCGATATTTCTTTTCTGACTCCTACTTCTTTCTACTGTGATAATAAGAGTGTCATCTAGATTGCTAATAATCCAGTATTTCATGAGAAGACCAAACACATTGAGATGGATGCTTAGTTTGTTCGCCAAAAAGTTATCAAGGACAAGACAATTCAACTTCTTCATGTCTCATCCACCGATGAGCTTGCAGATTTCTTCATGAAGACCTTACATGTTCATCGATTCTAGTTTTTTATACGCAAACTCACTTTGTTTGACCCAACATGAGTTTGAGGGGGGCTATTGATATTAGGTTTAGTCCCATATTGGTTATGAGAGGACACCTCACCCTCATCTAATTGTATATAAATAGGTGTACACATTCAATACTTTAACTAAGAGAAATTTATCCCAAGATTATTCATCTTCGTCGTCTTCTTAGTGATTTCGATATTTCTTTTCCGACTCCTACTTCTTTCTACTGTGATAATAAGTGTGTCATCCAGATTGTTAATAACCCATTATCATGAGAAGACCAAACACATTGGGATCGACGCTTAGTTTGTTTGCCAACAAGTTATCAAGGACAAGACAATTCAACTTCTTCATGTCTCATCCACCGATGAGCTTGCAGATTTCTTCATAAATGCCTTACATGTTCATTGATTCTAGTTTTTTGTACGCAAACTCACTTTGTTTGACCCAACATGAGTTTGAGGGGGGCTATTGATATTAGGTCTAGTCCTATATTGGTTATGAGAGGACACCTCACCCTATTCTAATTGTATATAAATAGGTGTACACATTCAATACTTTAACTAAGAGAAATTTATCCCAAGACTCTCTCTCTCTCTCTCTCTCTCTCTCTCTCTCTCTCTCTCTCTCTCTCTCTCTCTCTCTCTCTCTCAACAAAAATCAAACTCCACAAATTGCAAAATAATAATGACCCATCAATTAAGCTGAACTTATACTTTCACTTTTCTTTATATTAAAAATCACCTGTTATTTGGCAGTGGCTTTAAGTAAGGTATTAAGGAGCGTTAAACCCTTATTAACATATCATATATAAAAAATCTACACAATGAATAAATGGAACTAACCTTTCATACTTTGTCAAATACAAAAAACTAAAGATGCACTTTTCTTTATATAAAAAATCTGTTGTTATTTGGCAGTGGCGTTAAGTGAGGTATTAAGGAGCGTTAAACCCTTATTAACACATCATATATAAAAAATCTACACAATGAATAAAGGGAATTAACCTTTCATACATTGCCAAACACAAAAAATACAAAAAACTAAGGATACCTCCTTTGAGAAAATGAGTTAAACCTAAATACCTATATTTAGGCGGTTTAAATATTATTCTATATGTTGAAAAAGTCTCAATAATCCTCGTTATTCCCAATTATAAAAATGATCATAATTATAACTACAAATTTTTCTAGATGAGTTAACAATTTAGCCATTCGAGTTAACAAATAAAACAACTTTATCGACCCTTCTCCTTATTCTCAATCTTCAACGTTGGTCACCCATGACAGGTGATCCGGACTATTGGGATATTTCAATATAGCTACAATGCTCTCGGGTTCAATTCTAGGGTGAGTTGTTATTGAAAGAAAAAAATCCTAACCTTGGCCAAACAGGCCCCAAGTTGAGGTGCTAAACTGTATTCATATACTAGAAAAAAAATCCGCGATGGTATATGTTAGGATACAAATATGCTTACTCAATTTCATAACACCTAGGGTATGGTTACGTATATGATATTATAGTGAAAAATTCGAATATATATTAGTCATGCCGTTACAATATAGTTTTAATCTAATACTTAGATTATGAATTTGAGGTTAATTTTGATGATCAAGATGTTTAATCTTAACTTTCTAGATATAATATACAAATTAACAAACTCTTTTGCATCACATGAATAACACCTAGGGTATGGTTACGTATATGATATTATAGTGAAAAATTCGAATATATATTAGTCATGCCGTTACAATATAGTTTTAATCTAATACTTAGATTATGAATTTGAGGTTAATTTTGATGATCAAGATGTTTAATCTTAACTTTCTAGATATAATATACAAATTAACAAACTCTTTTGCATCACATGA